ATGTTGGGTTTGGGGGTCAAACTCCGCTGAGTGTTCCTTGGTAAGGTGAGAGAACCCCATCCAGCACTGAAGATCTGTCTGTCAAACACTGGCTGGGTTTGGGGGGGAAACTGAAGACACACAGGTATGTCCTCATGACTCCTGTCCTCCTGGAGTCTGGTGTCTACTTGGAGAGTGACTCTGCTTAATATATAAGTAAATGCATCTTCAAAGGAATGTATAATAGATGCAGATTCCCAGAACATGAAAATGAGAGCTCTGATCTGAACTGGGGTTGAAGAGTGGACTCCGTTGGCCAAATGGGGAAGAGAAGGGAAGGTGGGGGTGGGGAGAAACATAGACATCCTAGGAAGAGCACTCTGGAAGGACAAAGGAACCCCTGGGTGGCTGGGACTCAGAGTGGACATGTGGATGGGTGGGGGTACACTGAGGTGCCTGGCAGAGGGGGTCATTTAACATCAACAACAGAAAGAAATACCCAAGGGTAGACGGCAAACAGAGAAGTGGCCTGTTCAGTCAGGGGACTTGATAGAGACCACTGTGTGTGGAGTGAGCACTGAGGTTTAAAGGACCATGGTGGCTCCAGAGGGTGGTCAGGTGCTCAGAAGTGAGATACCAGCTTATCCTGTAAGCAGCAAATCCTTGCACACATACACGGCACCTCTGTATCCCGTGTCTTAGGGTATCAAGGCAGAGTTGTCCATCATTCATATCTTCGGAAAGTCTCCCCTTTTAGCAAAGGTTACAGGTGTGGGCTCAAATCCAGGATTAGCACCCAGTAGCTACTGCTTCTGGCCTGTAAGCTCCCCTCTGCTCCCTTAGGTTCTGTCTGAGTGTCCTTAGTGGAAACTAGGTCTTAAGCACACATTATCAAAGAATGTTCTGAGGCAACATCTGAGGCTCTTGTTCCTAACCTCAATGACAACTCTAGCATTCAGCTCTGCACAAAGTGTGTGAAGGAGATTTGCTGGTTAAAATGCAGAAGAAACATCTTAGGAAAGGTCTAGGGAAAACAATTTACTAAATATATTGCTTTCATTCCCCGTCTTCATCGTCATCATTTTAAAAAGAATGTTAAGCTCAACAGTAAGCATAATAAGTACACTTATTTTTTTTTTCACTTAATTGAGTGGTTACCATGGTAACCTGAGAACTGACTACTCTTTGTCCTCAATGAATTTCAGATACACATTTTTGTTTCATCTGCTTAAAGTTGCAGGAAGCTTTTAGGAGAGGTAACCCCGAGCTACGGCCTTTCCCACCCTGCTTTGATGTCAGCAATGGCAGCATCCCCTCACTGTGGGACCCGCAATGGCAGCATCCCCTCACTGTGGGACCCGCAATGGCAGCATCCCCTCACTGTGGGACCCGCAATGGCAGCATCCCCTCACTGTGGGACCCGCAATGGCAGCATTTCATTTTTCTGGGTAAGAACATTGTAACCTGGGGAAGGATATGTTGGAAATGCCACCAGGTTTCAAATCTGCAGCCATCCAACACAGGAGGAGGTATGCCATCCTTCCAGAAGCCTCCTTTCTTGGCAAAGATCTTCTGGAGGCTATCTCCAGAACCGAATTATGGCATTAGAGGGACAGAGGCCCTGCAATCCACTCTCCATTGCTCTCCAAAATCATTGTTTCTTCTCATTCTTCCTTCTGCTCCTGACCCACCTGTAGCATGAATCCTAATTGGTCTTAATAATAAAAACCCAGAGCCTGATATGGCGTAAATGCTGAATAATCAGAGAGACAAAGGAGAAAGCCACAGCCACCTCTTACCTTGCCAACTCCTCAGCCTGAAAGGAGCCAAGCTCCTGTCTCTGCCTGCCTTATATTCCTCTCTCCGCCCAGCCATATCACTTCCTGTCTCCATCTTCCTAGTGCTGGGATTAAAGGCGTGTGACTCCCAAGTAGTGGGATCAAAGTCATTACCACCTGGCTCCATTTCTCTTTTAGACTAGATCAGTCTCGTGTAGTTTAGGGTGGCCTTGATTTCACAGAGATCCATCTGCCTCTGTCTCCAGAGTGCTGGAATTAAAGATGTGTGCCACCACTGCCTGGCCTCTATAGCTACCTAGTGGCTTAGCTCCACACTCTGATTTTCAGGTAAGCTTTATTTGTTAGATCACAAACAAAGTATCACCACACCTACCCCAGCATCTCTTTGCCCTAATTGTTATTGTGGAAAAAGGGAGATGGCCTACCAAAATCCTAAAGCAATCCACGTGAGCAAGGCTTCTTGTTAGTGGACTAACAGTGCTGAGCTCTGTCCCCTCTCTCACTTCTCAAAGGAAGCAAGCAGTGCTGTGGGGCCAGCTCGTGGCTAATGGTCAGGAGCAGGCAGGAAAGGAGGGCCGGCTATTGACCTCCCCCTTGATGGGGAGAGAAAGGAAGATGATTCCCCTTCAGTGACAAGAACTTTCGTAACTTAGCTGAAATGCTGTTAGTTCATACTCAGCCCATGCTTATGAACACCTCATTAGAATATGGATTCCATGAACCATGAAGAGAAGTATGTAGCTGGAGAATTACAAGTGTGGTTATGGCTTTATCAAAAGGCATCTTCTGAGGCCAAGGACAATATGGCACCATCCCTGAAGTGGCCTTCGCAATTCGGAAAAGGTACAGTGCCCTTTTCTTCGAAGGCAGTTGAACAGGCAATGGGCCGATGGCTTCTGATGTGCAATGGAACAGCAGCTGAAACAGTTATTCTTGAAGAGTAACTAAGCTCACACCTCTCAATATTAGACTGACATTTAATAGAGGGATGTGGAGAAGAACAGGATGCTGAGATGAAGCCACACACACATAGCCAAGAAGAATGGACAGCTGAATTAAAAAAAAATCAACAATTTCCAGAATTTAAAATCCTGAATCATGACATGACACTAGTGGAATTCAGGTGTTTCTGGTACATGGACTGCTCTCACCCAAAATGAGGTTGAACTGTTCACCTTGTGTACATCCTACTTCACAAATGAGTCTGTCAGATATGCTAAGCCTATAGGCTGAAGATGATGCCCCAACACTGCAGAGAAACCTCAGGTGACTGTCCAGGCAGCTGGCTGTTTCTGTCAACTCACATTTTTTTTTTTTTTTTGGAGGCTGCTGCTGTGGATATCGCTCTATATAAATAAAGCACTGATTGGCCAGTGACCAGGCAGGAAGTATAGGCAGGACAAGGAGAGAGGAGAATTGAGGAAGGAGGAAGGAAGGAGAGACCGGCTGGAGCCACCGCCAAGACAAGGAAGATGTAAAGTACCAGTAAGCCACGAGCCACGTGGCAAAGTATAGATTAATAGAAATGGGCTGCATATGAGAGTGAGAGCTAGACAATGATAGGCCTGAGCTAATGGCCAAGCAGTTTAAATAATGTAAGAGTCTGTGTGTTTATTTTATAAGTGGGCTCTGGGACTGGCGGGACTTGGTGGTGGGAGCTGGAGAAAAATTCTCCAGCTACAGGCTGCTTGCATGCACTTCCTTTTTTTAAATTTTTTATTAGGTAATATTATTTCCTTTGTGGGTCTCTGAGGGAGTTGAAGATTAGTTAGTTATAGTTGAAGATTAGTTAAGATAGAAAGTGAATTAGGTACATTTTGGACTTACCAAAATAGGATAGATAATGGAATTATTTTCTCTGAATTTGTCAAACACAAATGGACTAACATTGTTTAGGTATTTATTACTTGTATATATTGTATATAGTTATTGTACTTTTGTATATAGTTTTTCTTATGGTAGTTATAACCTTTTTCCTTTTTTCTTATTAAAATAGAAAAGGGGAAATATGGTGATATTTTATTTGTACTGAAATGTGATTTTATTTGTATGTTAATAAATAAAGTTGCCTGGGGATCAGAGCTATTAGCAAGCCATAGAGAAAGCTGGGTGGTGGTGGTGCACGCCTTTAATCCCAGCACTTGGTAGGCAGAGCTAGGCGGATCTCTGTGTGTTCAAGGATACAGCCAGCATTGGAGACACACACCTTTAATCTCAATACCAACCATAGAAGACCTGGAGGTCTGTACAGACAGGCAGTGACGAGGCGGTCATGTGGTTGGGTTTACAATCAATGAGAAGGCAGAACAGAAACTCTATTAAAAAAAAAAAAAAACAGACACAGGAAGTAGCTCTCTTTTGGAGAGGTACAGTGACAGTGAAGGGTAAGGTTTTTAGCTCTTAGCTATTGCTCTGATCTCTTGGCTTTCATCTCTGTATTGGCTCTGTGTTTTTTATTTAATAAGACGGTTGGTTACATCTACAGAAGTAAAGTAAAGCAGCCAAATAAACCAGTGACAAGAAAAAAATTAAGAAAACCTCCCGTCTTGCAGAGATTAGGTTTGTACAGAATTTACTGGTCACTTTCCTTCATTAAAACAGGATCATACTATTGGCAATAATCATCATCTTACCCCATCTCCAGAATGTTTTCAACGAACTCAGTTTTTAAACTTCAAACCCAGGAAATAATGCTGCTATATCGATCACATACAACTCTGAAGCAAACTTAAAAAGTCTGTCGTCTTCTGTGGGTTTGTTGCAGGATATTTGATCGCACAGTGACACTCCTAGACTGTGTTAATAAAGTTAACTTTGAATTGGGGGGGGGGCAGATCCAGCAACTAGCTGACCAGAATTAGCCATAGAGAAGCAGTAATAGGAAAGGGCAGACAGACAGGAAATGGAAGGGAGGGACTTGGAATTCACACGCTCTCTTGGATCTGTGATATATGGAGAGAAGAGCTGCTGGCTGGGTCCCCGGTAAGAAAGGGAAGGTCAGCTGGTCACTCCTCCTCTGCTCCTTTGATCCATATGGTTTTCACCCCAGTATCTGACTCTTGAGTTTTTATCGGTCATAGAACAATTTAGCAAACACAACATGGCTTCTCCTATTTTTAAATGTAGCTATTCAAACAAGGTGGTGAGGAAGCATGTTTACCAACATTGGAAGAGATTGACAACATATTGTGTGACTACAGAGGTAACGAAGTAGCAGGCATATTGTGATGCCATCTGAGTCACCGCTTTATTTTCCTTTGAAAGTTATCGTACAGAGTTAGAAGTTTCATTGTCGCATTTTCAGACATACTTTGCTTTTATTGAATCCCCCATCCCTTCCTACCCTTAATGGCTCTTCCATGTGCTAGTCCCTGTGTCTTTGTGCTGTCAAAGTCCTTTCCAGAACGTTTTTGTCGTTGTCTCTATCTTAACATATTCGTCCTATATTTTCTCTAGCATTTTTCAAGTTTTATATGAAGATCTTTGAGCCCATGGGAGTAGATTTTGTGCGTGATAAGAGATAAGGGTCAGCTTTATTCTTCTGTATGTGTATAGTCAGTTTTCCCAGCACTGTTGGTCAATGAAACCACCTTTCCCCCAACATGTATTTTCGACACTTTTGTGGCTATGTGGGTTTAATTTTTGAGTCCTTTATTCAATTCCACTGGTCTCTGTGAACATTTGGGTGCCCTTACCAAGCTGAGACTTTACCCACCACAGGAAGAAGTGATGACCAAGCTGTGTTATAATTTTGTGTAGTTCTGCCACAACACAGTCAAAACGCAGCTAGCAATCTGCATTATCAACACAGATAGAAGAAAAACATCAAGTAGAATGGGATATGGACAGTATGGGCATGTAAAGGGGATTGAAATGTAACAAAAGCAACTCTTATCTTGCTTAGGAATACATTATTTAACAGCTAATAAATGGTTTCTGAATGCCTGTCTGCCGCATGTCAGATGTTTTAGGTCCCAATGATCAAGAGATGAAGTACCTGCCTTCCTAGTTCTGGTATTCTAGATACAGTGGAAACAGGAAGACAGATGTGGGGCTGATAAACACTGCAGCTGAGAGCAGGGAAGCCTCCAGGAGGCCAGAGGACGTGACCTGGAAGTGATAACAGAAGCCCTCTGTCATCTGCAGTTTCGTGTGGGTGGTGCAGTGTTGGTGGTCCAATGGTGTGCACAGCTGCCTTCCAACTCTTGCAGTTTTATTTCTTAACTCTGGAAGTGGGTAAATGATGTTTCCAGTTTCATTCTCTGTAGCTTTTAGCCTTTCTGAAACACCCAGTGAAAACTGATTTACTTTTGTTTCCTGGGTTTGCTTCCACAGTTTTCTTTTGTTCCAATAAAAACATGTTCCCTCTGCAGACAACAGAGAGGTCCCAGGAAGATTGAGGGAGGTGTTTCAGGCACACGATGTGTTTAAGAAAGCCTGTGTCGGGCTAGAGAGATGGCTCAGAGGCTGACAGCATTGGCTGCTCTTCCAGAATGGGTTCAACTCCCAGCACCCACAGGGCAGTTCACAACTGTCTGTAGCTCCAGTTCCAGGGGATCTGACCCCCTCACACAGACATGCAGGCAGGCAAAACACGAATGCATATAAAATAAAAGTAAATAGATCATTTTAAAAAAGAAAGCCTGTGTGCTTGGTAATGGCATGGTGTCCGGATACTTTTTCTGGAAGGCTGTGGGCTGCACTGAGCTGATTGGGAAGCCAATTAATTCATTTCCAAGGAGGCTCTGCTGCTCACCCTCAGGCACTGACTTGCCTCGTCTGACCATAGGTGGCTGGGGTGTCAGAGTGGGAGCTTATTGACCAGTGGACTGCAGATATTCTAGCATTCCGAGTGTTCTACCGCAGAGCACAGAACTGGATCAGATTTAACAAGAGAAACAAGGTTCTAGGACTCCTCAGTGCCCCACTGCTCCCATTTGTTGAGCATATGTTGTGTGGCAGGTTGTGTGGCATGAGGCGTCACGTGTTCTAAGACAGGCAGGCAGATATTGTGACTTAAGGTGTCATGGGTCCCTGAAAAAGATGACCCAACCATTGTTGTTAGGTTTTTTTTTTTTTTTTTTTTGGTTTTTCGAGACAGGGTTTCTCTGTGTAGCTTTGCGCCTTTCCTGGATCTCGCGCTGTAGACCAGGCTGGCCTCGAACTCACAGAGATCCGCCTGCCTCTGCCTCCCGAGTGCTGGGATTAAAGGCGTGCGCCACCACCGCCCAGCTTTTTTTTTTTTGAGAAAGGGTCTGTGTAGCCCAATTGAGCCTGAAACTCACTCTGTAGACCAGGCTGGCCTCAAACCCACAGAGCTCCCCCTGCCTCTGCCTCACTGCTGCTGGGATTACAGGCATGCACCACCACATTCGGCTGACCAGACATGTTAGTAAGCTAACGGAGCCTGGCCATTATGGTGCACATTAGGGGCTCTTCAGGAGGGAGGTGATGGGGCTGGGGAAGTTCCTCTATGAATGGAAGAGACTGCCAAGACTGCTTTGGAATGACTGCAAAGATCTGGACCAGGCACAGGGATGAGTTTGGAGAGCAACGAAGAGGTCAAATTCTGATTCATAAGTCCCATGTGTTGCATGAAGAGATTCTGAGATCAGTGAGGACCCAGGAGGGGTTTTAACAATAGACTGCCATGGTTGAGCTTGCTTTCATAATGATCATTTTGTGTGATACAAAGACCAGTGTAGAAAGACTGTTTGGCAGTTCCAGGCAAGAGGGCAGAGAAGATGCTCATGCAGGGACAACAGTGGGACTGGAGAGAATTCCTGCATAGGAAATCTGATTCCCTACCTGGCTGAATCAATGTGGGATGGACAGAAAGGAGAGAGACGAGGAAGCACCTTGGTTTCTGGCTTGGGTGGCTGGGGAGATGGTGGTGTCATTCACAGAAATAGAGGAAACAGAAGGAAGAACAGATTTTTGTGGGGGAAGATGGTTTGGGACGTGTTGAGCTAGAGATGCACATGGGAAATCCAACCAGTGCTGTTTGGTGGGTAGATACATGCAGCAGGAGCTTACCAAGGAGCTCAGGGAACAGCCAAACCTTTGGGAGGATCCCCACACAGGAGAGGGTACGCAGTGACATGTAAGGGGCCACAGACAGGATGCTGGGCGTATATTTGAGTAATGGGCCAATGGAGAGTTTGGCAGGGAAATGAAAACTAAGTGAGTAGAGAATTAGAGGGGGAGCACACAGACTGTGGGCTATAGCCTAAGGCTAAGCCCAGGAACTTTGCAGGCCAGGCTGGCTGGGGCTCACACACCTCCCTGGACACACAAATGCTCCATTTCCCAACCTCTGCATCATTTAGATAGAGTCACTGACTATGACTGCTACCAAACACAAGGTGAGGTCATGTTTGGTTAAAGTTCATTCCTCAAGTCCCCCAGGCCCCTGGCCCACCATGATGTCTTTGGAAGTCAGCCATAAAAGGCCCCTGGGAAGAAAGCAACTGGATTTTGCTTTTGCTTTAGTATCCCAGCACAGCCCAACCTATTTTTCCTGACCCTAGCTTCCTGGATTTGAACTCTGGTTCTACCTCTTGAATTCTTCTCAGATTTGACTCTTGTTGACTGTTGTGACCTTGCATTAACTGCCTAATTTCTCTGTGCCTCAGTTTCCAAATCAGTACAATAAGGCATAGAAACAGTCACATCTATATCATGTAGTTTCCTAGGAATTCAATCACCTAAAAGAAGGGAAAAGATGAAGATCTAGGGATGTCAAAAACTAAGAGAGGAGGAAACCAAGAACCAAGGAGTGGTTCATAGCAGAGCTGAGCCAAGCGTGGCCCGCTGGTCAAATCCATCTGGCTGCCTACTTCCGTTCAGCCTCCCAGATGAAATCAGGCTCGTCTGTTGTTGTTGCTGCTGTGTGCTGTGGGATGTCTTTCTGTACGCTGTGAATATGTGTTGCTCTGATTGGTTGATAAATAAAGATGCACTGGGATATAGCAAGGCAGGATGGAGCCAGATGGGAAAATCCAGGAGAGACAGTGAGAGGAGAGAGGAGAGGAAGGGGAGACGCCAGTCACTGCCTAGGGAGCAGCAAGATGCCAGCAGTCTGGTAATGCCTCGGCCATGTGGCAACTTATAGATTAATAGAAATGGGTTGAATTATAAGAGCTAGCTAGCTAGCAAGAAGCTTGAACCATAGGCCATCTAGTTCATATTAATATAAGCATCTGAGTGATTATTTTATAGGTGGCTGCAGGGCCGTGGGGCCAGGTAGGACCAGAGAAGCGTCCAGCTACAGCTGTTGTTTTTGAGAATGGTATATATTTTACTTCAGTAAAAACCAAGTCATATTTTATCTCCCAGCAGATCCTTGAGCCATAGAGATGAAGACATCGGTGAGACATAACTTGTGTCTCCACCAATTTGACTTGGTTGGCTTACATGTTTTAGAGGGTTAGGATACACCACATGAGAATTATGTGGATCCAGAATCACTCCCCACACATATGGCTCCTTTAGAGTGGAAAGAAGATTTTGGTGCCTGGAATATCCAAGTTTGATTCCTGACTGTAGCCTGTCAGCTGAGTGGTCCTGGCAATCGCTCACCTCACTTTCCTCAGCCATAAGTTGGGGATGAGCAGAGCTGCTCTCCTGAGCTGTTGTAAGGGTTAGTAACAACATACTGTAAATCATAGGACATGGCACCTGCTTCATAGCGTGGTCCAGGCAGCAAGTGCAGCGTTTAATCTGCTGCCACCAGATTTCTATTCCTTCTGTAGACAGTGTCTTGCCACTTGGAAGGCCCTGCTTTCATCTCCTGTACTCCGATGCCTTGCGCTGTGCGTTGCCTTCACAGAATCCCACCTCTTTGCTAAGGTCATCCATTTGGTTGAGCATTCTGTTGAACGCTGTGCTCAGCCCCACTCCCCAGATCTCCAGCTCCCCTTCCCTGCTCTGCTTTCCCTTGGTTTATGGCAGCTGACAACCTAGAGGGTTCACTAACATGTTACGCTCACTGTTTTGATTGTCTTCCTGGATAGGATGCAAGCTCCTCGAGCAAACGTCCTCATCTGGTCCATGAGTGTGTATCACGGGCACCTAAACAGAACCTGGACTGTAGACTCAATATTCACCCAACGACTCCATGCAAAAAGACTAGCAGAGAGTGTATTTTTAAATTCTTATTTTTGGACTGAGTGTGCTCTTTCAATCTGAGTATTTTCCCTTTTCATGCCTATAAAATTCTCAACCACTGTCCATCAAAACACAGTCTCTGCTCATCTTCACTCTTTCCTTCTGGCAAGTTCACAGTTTACATGTTAGTTCATTCTATCCTTAGTGTCTACTGAGTTCTTCCTCATACTAGACAACTGCTCAGCTTCCTGCTTCATCTTAAGGGAATTTCATCTGCTCCATCACTCTTTTATTAGTTGTGTTCAGTCAACTTCTCAAACTGTTAATGGAATTTTTATTTCAGCAGCAATTATATTTTGAGCCAAGTGTCTTAGTTCCTTTTCCTGTTGCTGCAACAATATCTGACAAAAGCAACTTAAGGAAAAGGGTTTATCTTGGATCACAGTCCAAGGGTGCTGTCCATCAGAGTGTGGGAACCATGGTGACAGGAGTCGCGGTGACAGGAGCCGCGGTGACAGGAGCCGTGGTGACAGGAGCTGCGGTGACAGGAGTCATGGTGACAGGAGCCGCGGTGACAGGAACCGCGGTGACAGGATCACAGTGCATCTACAGTCCAGATGCAGAGAGGAGGAGATGCATGCTTGTGTTCAGCCAGCTTCCTCCTTTTATGCAGTTCAGGACCCAAGGTCCGGGAATAGTGCTTCGTCTCTCACAGGTGTGGCTGAGGGCTTGCTCTTCATTCCAGATCCTGTTGACAACCAACTCTCACACTTATCATATTAATTTCTTTCCTTTCTCTTTCCACTCTTTCTTATAGTTGCTTCATGGTTTCTACTCTTCCTTTATTTCTTTGAATATTTAAAATATTTCTATCTAAGACTTCTTTCAGTGTTTTCCATGATCACTAGCTCTTGGGGATGTGAAGCTTCCCACTTGTTGCTGGTTTTCTTGCTGTGGCTCATTTCTTTTTGCAGTCTATAATTTTAGATGCACACTGTGAGCAGTGACTATTTGCCTTAGCTGAGGCATTAAGGGTCAGCAACTGAAAAGACTCCAACACTGTCCCCTGGCTCGTTGTCCCAGGGTAGGATGGGAGATAATGCACTGTGGGTCTTAGAAAATGTGCGCTACAATTAGACATGTATATCATGCCGCCTCCAAGGCCCAGGGAACATCATGGAAGACAGGGCAGAAAGCATGCAAAGGTAAGGAGGGGTGATGTAGAACACTGTCTTCCATGTGTGACATGGTCCTGGTGGTCCTGAACTCAGGAGGCGTGATTACTTGCAAAAGACTGGACTGGACAATAGTTCATCTTGGAGAGGGAGAAAGTTCATAAGGCCCTTCCCCTTCCTGAGGATGTGTAGGCAGTTAATGGTTGTTGGAGGAGAGACACTTTCTTCAATGTCGTAGCCACTGGTAAGTGCATGTGTTCTTGTAAATAACCTCTGACCCATGCTTCTGTAAGCAACCATAATGAAACCCAGTGGGTCATCAAAGTGAAGAACCAAATATCAAAGTAAAGGAGACTAAGTAGTTGGGGAGTTAATGGACATGGAAGGATGTAGCAGGAATCTTAAAAGTTCTTATTAATAAAAACAAACCTGGAGCTGGGTATTGGGGTGAACGCTGGAAGATCAGAGAAGCAGAACAAGCCACAGCTGTCTCACCTGGCCAACTTCTCAGCTGATCCTGTTTCCTCAGACTGGAAGTCTCTGAGTCCTCATCCAGAATGAGTCTCAGCTGAACTGCTGCTCAAAAGCCTAAAGGCTTAATCAGCTAAAAGCTTCTAGTTTCTGGTCTTCACGCCTTATATGCCTTTCTGCTTTCTGCCATCACTCCCTGGGATTAAAGGCTCACATTCTGGTATTAAATGCATGAGTCATCATGCCTGGCTGTTTCCTTGAACACACAGAGATCCAGGTAGATCTCTGCCTCTGGAATGCTAGGATTAAAGGCGTGAGTGGCTGTTCTGTTCTCTGACCCCAGATAAGTTTATTAGGGTGCACAGTATTTTGGGGAACACAATACCACCACAGAAGGAGGTCATGATGAGAAGGTGGATATGACCAAAATTCATTATGTACATGTATGGAAACAACATAATGAAACCCATTAATATGTATAATTAACATATGCTAATAAAAATACTATAAGCAAGAAACTACATCCTATGTTCCACATCTCCATTGTGAAACTATTTGTGTCACCTTGGGCAAAAGACTCATCCTCATTTTCTTACCTGTGAAGTAGAAATCATGATTCTACTTGTGGAACTGCTGTGGAGAGTTAGCGCAATAGTCAACACAGGAGCAAACAGCTTTGTTTTCCATGTAGTAAATGCTGAACAGCTGTTACCAGGTACTCCAACACAGGGTGACCATTGTGTGTTTACACATCTGTGAGCATTTTCATGTTTTGTGATGGGAGGAAATTAATTTATGAACACACACACATATGTACACATACACACATTTATACACGTGCACGCATGCTCACCGTCCACACACACAAACACACACACACACACACACACACACACACACACACACACACACACACAGAGCCAGTCATCATATGTGGACAGCAGTCAGATATATTTGCTTCACTTGTGACATAAATTAGTTGGAAATGGGAGCAGAAACCATCACAAGAACACACTTGGCTCTCCACCACTTCTGAGAGGCACTGACAAGAGTGGGCACAGAGTCTAAGACATTATCTTAAAAAAAACCCAAAGCCCAGTTAGGGAGTTAGATCCTTTGCCAACTATTTTGGATCATTAAAATATAGCAGTAGAGAACGTTGTTGCTGAGAGGAAAATGACCCAGATAAATTTCTTCAGTTCTATTCAGAGGGAACATACATTTAACTCCTTGGCCATGTTTTCCTTGGGCATCATTCCCTGCAAATAGTTAGATACAGAATAGCAGCTCTCTGAACCCACAGCTGATGCTCAGCCATATTCTTTGTTTGTTGCCGGGAAGGCAGAGTGTATTCATTACTTTTCTTGTTGCTCTGACAAACGTTGAGAGAAGTCACTGAAGGGAGGAGGGGTTTATTTTGACCCAGGGTTTGAGATGGTCCAATCTATCACAGGGGGAGGACAGCAGAGGGAGTGCTCCAGAGGGAGGCACAACAGAGGGAATGCTCCAAGGGGAGGCACGACAGAGGGAGTGCTCCAGAGGGGAGGCACAGCAGAGGGAGTGCTACAGAGGGAGGCACAACAGAGGGAGTGCTCCAAAGGGAGGCATGGCAGAGGGAGTGCTCCAGAGGGAGTGCTTCAGAGGGAGGCATGGCAGAGGGAGTGCTCCAGAGGGAGGCATGGCAGAGGGAGTGCTCCAGAGGGAGGCACGGCAGAGGGAGTGCTCCAGAGGGAGGCACGGCAGAGGGAGTGCTCCAGAGAGAGTGCTCCAGAGGGAGGCACAGCAGAGGGAGTGCTCCAGAGGGAGTGCTCCAGAGGGAGGCACGGCAGAGGGAGTGCTCTCAGGGTGTGGTGACAGCGGCTGCTCCCTTGAATCTTGGCGGGTTAGCAAAGCAGAGAAAGAGAAGGTGGGGGAAAGAACAGGGTGACGGAGAGGGAAAAGGAGAGGGAGAGGAAGAGAGAGAGAGACTGCTGCTCAGTGGCTTTCTTTTCTTTTTCTCTCTTTATCAGTCTGGGACCCCGGAGTGTGGACCAGTGCCTCCCCTATTTGGATCTTACCACCAGTTGATCCTGCTGCCCAAAGGTGCGAGTTCCTCACATCCTCAGCATTTATTATTCCTCTCTACTAGACAAAATTAGCCACCACAGAGACACAGGCAAATTCTTGGGCAAGAGGAACTTATTTTTATCTCAAGGAACTTTCAACCAGGAGTCCCTCCCTTACCTAACTGCTTTGGGTCTGAAATGAGGACAAGTAAGAGAGACAGCGCAGCAAAAGAAGGCTGTGTGAGACCAGGGCTCAACACAAAGTGCCTTCTCAGGGATCCGACAAGATCTCCCAAAGTCAGCATTTCAGCTTTCATAGTTATGAAATGCAGAGATTAAAATTAAACACATTTAAATAGAAAAATGCTTTGAGGTTTAGTTTACCTGATCATCATAATCTGATCCTGGGTCAACGATCTCTCCAGCATCAAACATCATCGAAGGGTCAAGGTCAGTTGAATCTAAGTTTAAGAAAGATATGATCAGCTGGTGGTGGCTGTATGTTTCCAAAGCAAGAAGTTTCCCATCAGGTTGCCATACTGTCCTGTTGGTCCATTAACCACACACACATTTATACACTGCTCTAGCCATCATGCTCTGTGTCTGAGCTGGTGGTAGAGGACACAGACACTCTGGATCCTGTCCTGGCCTTCAGAAGAACAAGCTCTGAAGGAGGCTAATTTGCCAACAGCAAGACTCAGAAACCAGCAAATGTGAGGACTAGATCTGGTCATCCGTGAGGTGACAGACCAGCAGTGTGAGGACTAGATCTGGTCATCTGTGAAGGTGATGGACCAGCAGTGTGAGGACTAGATCTGGTCATCTGTGAAGGTGATGGACCAGCAGTGTGAGGACTAGATCTGGTCATCCGTGAGGTGACAGACCAGCAGTGTGAGGCACTAGATCTGGTCATCTGTGAAGGTGATGGACCAGCAGTGTGAGGACTAGATCTGGTCATCTGTGAAGGTGACAGACCAGCAGTGTGAGGACTAGATCTGGTCATCTGTGAAGGTGACGGACCAGCAGTGTGAGGACTAGATCTGGTCATCCGTGAAGGTGACAGACCAGCAGTGTGAGGACTAGCTCTGGTCATCTGTGAAGATAACAGACCAGCAGTGTGAGGACTAGCTCTGGTCATCCGTGAGGTGACAGTGGTACTCAGAGTCTTCACAAGGAGCTGACCCGGGAACCTGAGGTTGGAGGGGAAGATGAGTGTTTGGGAGAGGTAGCTTCAGGATGTTCTGAGAACTGAGACACAGGCACCACAAACAGAGCGGAAGAAGAGCAGGGAGCTTCTGGACAAACAGGGCTGATTTCCCATTCTAAAATGTGACTTTTGCCTCAAGCCTACAGGTGCCCTTACCCTCTGTTCTAGCTTCATTTCATTTGCTGTGACAAGAGGAGACAGAGGGAGGGAAGGAGTTGTTCAGCATTCAATTCCAGGTTTCACTCCATAATTGAGAGGAAGTCAAGAACTCAGGCACCTACTCATTCATGTCCATAGTCAAGAGCAGAGAGTGATTAACATATCCTTGTCTGCTGGCCACTCAGATAGCTCTCTACTCCCATACAGTCCAGGGCCCAGCCCAGGAAATGATGTTGCTCATATTCAGGGTGGGTGTTTCCTCCTCAATTAATAGTTAAGACAATTCCCACAGACATGCCCACAGGCAGATCTAGACAGTTCCCACAGACATGCCCACAGGCAGATCTAGACAGTTCTCACAGACATGCCCATAGGCCGGGCAGATCTAGACAGTTCCTCAGCTGAGAATCTGCTCTATGAGTCTAGATTGTGTCAAGCTGACAGCTGAAACTAACCATCACATTCCCCAAAGGCAAGAAGACACAGGCTGACTAATGGAGGCTGTCTCTTCTCAGTAGAAGAAGCCACATCAAATCACTTGCCGTTAGTCCCCCAGGCTCAGATTTACACCATCAGTTTCCACCCTGAGTTCTCGTAGTAGAGGTGACTTGTTGCTCTCACTTAACAACTCTTTCCTGTGGGGAGACATGCCACCTACCTAAGTACACATGCCTCCCTGGCCAGGAAAGTGCTGCCCATAACAGGTTTATGTGTTCCGTGAAACAGCAAATCACGTCACATTCCACTGTAACCTGGGCTTTGACAAGTCATTCTTGGTCAGAGTATGGAAGTTGAATGAAGTATATTTTCATAACAGTACATACTTCATACACTCCTCAGAAGCAGAGCAGCCTCAGAAGTATTGCTTCATATTCCTCTTAACACTAGAGTCAAGGTGGGGTCTCACCCAGTGTCTCCTCTCTCTCCTCCCCCTTCATCCCTCCCTTCCTCTTTTTCCTTCATCCTTTCTTCAGATAGGCCTCAGTCTTTAGGTCGGTCTGGCTTTGAACTTGTGAAGCCACAGCCTCAGGCTCTAATGAAATTGCAGGTGTGCACCCCTCTACACTACCGCTCCTCTGATCATTGCTAACTCTACTCTCTGCCAAACTGACGAAGTACTTGTGTTTGTGGTTTTCATATTCTTTTCTATTTTTCTAGGGTAGTGTTTGACTGTGTATCCAGGATGACATCAACTCGGAGCAGGTACCACAGTGTAACAGCAATGTCAGAACTGGAAGCTTCCATTTCTTTCTTCTCATGCACCCTGCTGACAACAAACTGTAAGCAGAGCGACCTGCAGGGCTCTCCTAGTGCTGCCACACAGGCGAGGACCTGGAGGGCATGGCTGTCCATTGACATCCTGAGACAGGGAGGGACAGTAAGTGCATTTGGATGAAGCACATTGCAGGGGGCTGTGGAAACATCAGAGGTGGAATAATGGAATCGAGTTCAAGCCAGGACAATCAAGTCACCTTCCTAGGCAGCTTTTGTGGACAGCAGTGTTAAAGACAATAAAAATGTGTTCAGCTCTCCTTAGTCTCCAGTGTAGACATTGTCTTCTTGACTGGTCAAGAGGAAGGTGTGTGGGTGGATGTGCTTCCCTAACCTCTGACTGTCCTTTGATTCTGAGAGTCCACAGGATCTGAACACAAAGTCTTAGTGAACACCCAGCAGCAAGGACTCCCTTGTCCTACTTATTGTTGAATTGGAAACCATTCTTCCCATTGTTTGCAAGAAGTGAAATCTGAAGGACCCTTAACAACCCACCAAGTAGGGACCACATGCTAGTATTTGAAACAGCAGCAAATTCATTAGAAAACAATTTTCAGTCACATCAGAATGAAAAGACTTTTGATTAAAACTAACTTCCCTCTTAGGAGGAAGAGGAGATTGATGATCCTTCCTAATCAAGGGCTTTGACAGAAATCTCACTGTATCACTAAGGGATGGCAATTCTTGACTCACTGTTGCCCCTGGCAACCATAGTATTAATATATTTCAGATGACAGACAAAGGGTATCATTATCAGCTCAGATAATGATTGAATGGCTTGCATTTTTAAAAACACTGGTTGCTTAATTTTCTAGAAATGGGGACTTTACTAATAGCCCAAGGAGCCAGGGAGACAAACACTGATGTGCTTCAGGCTTTCTTTCAACCAATACACAGGCACATAAAACACCAGACATGATTTTCTTCCTCAGAAATGACCACAGAATTCAGACATTTAGAAAAAGTGATGGTATGGCTTTCATTTTTCCCTGTTCTGAGTTTTTCAATTTCTCTTCAGATCTAAAGGTATCCTTTTTTAGATAACAAAGAAAGGTCTGATCTGAAATGGCTCCCCACCTGACACACTCAGTGCCACTTGTTTTAATGTAAGGTGGTCTTCAGAAATATTACCTCAGGCTGTCTTTAATTCAACAGGAACCAGAGGCAAAGGGCTTTAAGGAGGCAGCAGAGGTGAGCCGAACCACATTGCTCTCCAGGACAGTGTCAGAGCTGTCAATCTAAATTTGCAGGAGGGCACACCTGCCACTTGGCCCGCCAAAGAGACCCTCCTGCAATGAGGCTTCTTGAGCCATGGAGGCCAGCACTGAATGAGACTCTTCCACCTCTCTGGCTGTCCCCCTTAAGGGGAGCAACATCTCCTGTTCCTATAGCCATTAAACTGTCAGGATTGTGTTTCAGCACGGCATATCAAAACACAACTTAGAAATTAAAGGTGTTCTGTTTACAGGCACTGCACAACTGAAGATGAATCAAAGGACCTCTGCGTTCTCCCTCGACAGATGCTGCTCCTGGGCACCCTCTGTGCAGACCTAGTACTTCCTGTCAGGGACAGATGCTGAGTACTTCCTGTCAGGATAGATGCTGCTCCTGGGCACCCTCTGTGCAGACCGAATACTTCCTGTCAGATATAGATGCTGAGTACTTCCTGTCAGGGATAGATGCTGAGTACTTCCTGTCAGGGATAGATGCTGAGTACTTCCTGTCAGGGATAGATGCTGAGTACTTCCTGTCAGGGATAGAGCTGCTCCTGGGCATTCTCTGTGCAGACCAAGTACTTCCTGTCAGAAATAGAGCTGCTCTGGGTACCCTCTCTGTAGACCGAGTACTTCCTGTTCGGGTTCTGTATACACTGAACTTGAGAATCCCACTCTTATGCCACAGGCATGGGAGTGTTAGCCACACTGTGGCAGAATTCCTTTGAGGAACAGCACTGCATGTATATGGGGAAAGGCAAGGCCCTGAGTGAGGAGAGGGAGGGCTGGCTCTTCAGTGACTCTAGGACAGGATGGGGAGAGGGCGAGAAGGAGGGAGACGAGAGGAGAGCCGAATCTGGGGAAAGGAGGACAAAGTGTAATGTCTAAGACGTGGTCTTCCGTGAGCCTTGAGTCCTTTGCAGAGACATAAGCTCATCCACAGCCTTTCCAGTAGGACAGGAACACCCTTTACCCACAAACTCACTGCCTCATTCCAACGCCCCTATGAGGCAGGTACTCTTGTCTCCTCTTTCTAAATGAGGAAATACAAGCCCAGAGAGATGCATTGACACACAGGGAGTGACGGCTCTGCTCAAAGTACCAATGGGCTCCACAGAGGAGGGACACTAGCAGAGGCTGTAGAGGTCATGGACCTGCAGCCAGAGGAAAAGACAAAGGAACCCCAAATACATACTGGGCTCAAGGTGAAGATCTGGTATGCCTGTGAGGTGTGAGCTTGGACCAGTGGCTCAGCTGAGGTGGCCAGATAGAAGAGAAAGGCTTTATGCCATCTCCCTTGGGCTCTTGCACACACACACACACACACACACACACACACACACACACACACACACACACACCACAGACACACAGACATACACATTCTCACAGATATCACTGTTTTTTTTTTTTTTTTTTTTGGTTTTTCGAGACAGGGTTTCTCTGTGTAGCTTTGCGCCTTTCCTGGGACTCACTTGGTAGCCCAGGCTGGCCTCGAACTCACAGAGATCCGCCTGGCTCTGCCTCCCGAGTGCTGGGATTAAAGGCGTGCGCCACCACCGCCCGGCCAGATATCACTCTTAAATAGAGACACAAAGGAGGATCTGGTCCATGTATGATGAGACTGGAACATTATACACAGTGGGAGCACACAGATGGAGACAGGCATTCAGTGTGACTAGAAGAGCAGGTGCAAAGGTCAGAGGCAGGAGCTAAGCCAATCAGAGAAGTGCAGGGATGGTGTGGGTGAGGGGTGGAGGTGATGCTTCACTGGACATGGGACAGCTAAGGATTCTGGGTGTTTGGATATAAGAAGGGCACTGGCACCCAGCCTGCAGAAAAGCCAAAGGTGTTGTTTTGTTGTTTATTAGGGAGGCAGGATGGTTAGAGCATTCTCTGAGGATCCCCTTGTAGCAGTGTTCCTGACAGGCAGGAAAGCCCCAAATGGGAGCTGACAAGGCCACCAACACTGTGGATGCAGAGAGGAAGAAGTGCCAACTGGTGCGGATATGAGAGCAAGAACACTGCTGGCTAACTTTCTGAACAGAGGTAAAGTGGATTTACGCCTGTTCTTGTCTGTGGTTTCCTTCTGGACCATGAGAGCTGGAGCCAGGATTTTCTCATTTGTTTTGTTTTCAGGGGGCTCAACGAAAATCCAGAACCTGCTGTTCTCAGAGTGGCTGATTTACTTGAAAATAGTGTGCATATACACAATACAACATCAATCAACAATCAATCTACATCAACCATCTATATATTTATCATCTATTACCTATAGCTATCTCTCATCTATTTATTAACTATCTATTCTCTATTATAGATCTCCCTGTCATCTATCATCTATCAGTTTCCATCTATGTACTGATGTATCTAACTATTTTGCAGAGCAGAGAGTCTAACCTAAGGCCATGCACACACTAGCAAGTGCTACACCATGGAACTATGTTCCCACTCCCCAACCTTTATTTTTAAACTTACTTATCTTGTTCTGAATTCTTCTGAGTTGTGATTTTATAAAATATAATAAAAAGTTGTAGGCTATAAAGTAAAAAATTGAGGGTGATTCATACAAAATTATGAGTGGGGGGGGGCAACAGACAGACAAAGTAGCATGGGGAGTTTACCTATATCAGGGTATATTTTCCATGACAGAGATCCAGGGTTGAGGGCTTAGAAAAAGAGAAAAATGACCTTGGACCTATGGGATGGGACAGATGAAATTTGGATACCCAATGTGGACCTGAATTTCTACATAAGCCCTGAGAAAGCTGTAAAACAAAACAAAACAAAACAAAAAACAAGACAAACAAACAAAAACTGGATATAGCCCCTTTAAGAGACTCTGCCATACAGTCAGTGAGTACTTGAGTAGCTAGCACATTAAGTAGAAATAACAAGCTAAGTAAAAAAAACTCCTGCCACAGTGTGGATACCAACTTCCTAGAGCTGGGGTGGTTAAATGCAGCACCCAGTTAAATGTAGCTCTTGGCCAGGCCTGTGGGCTTAAGGCTCAGCTCTCACAGACCCAAAGAGAGAGTGAAGCCAGCCAACAGAGCCAAGGCGGAGGGCCTAGCTATCACTTAGCAGTTTAAAGTTTGGTTCACACAGTTAGAAAAGGCTATAGATATACAATAAAGACAGGTCCAGACAGAAAAAAATCTCTAGATAGGTTACAGTGTGTTTAAAAATGTGTGTAGGCTTAAGAAAGAAAAAAAATGGGTATAGACAGTCATAGGAAAAATTAGTTTATAAATAACGTAAAGTTGTTAAAGAAAGAGTAAAGTAATATAAAAAGAATAAACCACATAAAGATGGGAAATACACAGGGAGTTTGGATCCTGTATGGTGCTATGTTGACTTTGAATATTTTGATTGCTGATGAGCAATTGACAGCTGCTGAGAGACATGGGATTGTAATAGGGACTACTGAATTAAACCAGCCTAGATACTTTAGGATATCTTAACTTTGAAATGGAGTTCAGAAAATATATTGCATTGGGGGAGAGGTTATGCTTTTGTTTCCACATGAAAAGAAAAGCTGTGGATTCCTTCAAGGTTAAGAGAGATTAGGTTTGATTCGGGGAGACCTCCTGAAATCTTGGCTAGAGACATAAAGTAATAAACCAGGAAAAACTACACAACAGGTGACCATGCATGCTGATCCCTCTGCGTGGGAACCCTTCTGAGAGTGGACAACAGATGTTACAACCAGTTTCCCCAGGACTTGAGCATTGTCTCAATTTTCTCATGTTCCCCTGGGGACCATCACCTCCAGACAACAGGAAACAGTCTAGAGAACACAATGCCCACATTCCCAAGAGGTGAGATTGGTGGTTTTTGGTCATTCAGTGGATTATGGATGTTTGTCATCATTTAGTGGGGATATAGGAATGCAGGATAAAAAGACAACTATTCATCTCAAATATTTTACATTGGTTTGGATTTTTGTATACAAATTATGGATTTTGATATAAATTTAAAGTTATTTTTGTTATACTTTAAATGTTTCTATTCTTGTTTAGGGTATTGTGCTTATGTTGCTCATTTCAAAATGCAATGTATAATTAAAAAATGCAGGTTAGTAGTTAGTCATCTATAATAATAAAACTTGTAGTCATATTAGGTATGTTTTCAAGGTTAAACAAATATATTTTAGATAGATAGGTGATCTTAAATACTTCAGAGACTTATAGAATACGGCATATAACATGTTTAATAACCTAAGGCTTTTCATGAGAGCGAGCCACATCTGCTCCTGGCAGGACCAATCTACTTCATAAAAAGGATGATGGGCATCAAAGAACCTCCATGTAGAGTTTGCCTTCACTGTGGCAAAGCTAGCCATTTGAACAAGAAACTTACCTGCCTCGACTGCTGACAGTCTGCTGTACAAACTGGACAAGCAGGACACAAAGGAAAAAGACTGCCAAACTTTGCCAAGACAAGGCGGGACAGTGCTTCAAAATTCCTGCTTCATAGAAAACTCTGCCATATATTCCCGGCCTATAGGCTGAAGATGGATGCCCCAATGTTGAAGAAGAACCTTAGGAGACTGTCCAGGAAGCCAGATGTCTCTGCCATTTCTATAGTTTTGCAAGTGGCTTACACTGCACTTCCTGTTTATTCAGGTAATATTTTCAGTCTTTCCTTTCTATTTAGTTTTTAATCTTTATTTTTTAATCAGAAAGAATGAGGCTCAGAACAGGGCAGCCCTATCAGTCCCATAGCAGCTAGTGGAACTTCAGTCACAGATAAAAATCCTGGGTCATTTGGCAGTTGATCCTGATGTCCTGATGCCAAAGGCTGTGGTGACTTACCTGTCGCAGCCTCCTTGTTTGGAAACAGCTTGTTGTCAACTGCCACACTGATGTCATAGAACACGGCATCCTCATCTCGGTCAGCATCAAACTGGGGAAACCAGGGCAGACAAGTTTGCACCATGAGACACACAAATGAGTTGAGTCTGACATACAGCAGGCACACATCATTCAGTTGTGTCTATAATGAGGCAAGAACTAAGCAGCTATGCTTATAACCAGACCCTTAGAGAGGGAGGGGGCGGGCAGTAGGAAGAAAATGTTCAGTCACTATGCTAAGAGAAATGGGCAACATTTGCTCAATATATAAAGCAAGCTCTGAAAAGATAATTGAAATTTACTTATGGCTTTCTGATTTAGTTTTTCTAATAAAAATAAAAAATATACAGTTATAAACAAGAGGGGTAAAGATTTCCTATTTATTTATCTATTTATTTATTGTGTCTATGTTGTCTGTGAGTGTACACAAGTATATGCAGCTGTGCATGCATATGTGTGTGCATGCACGTGGAAGCTGGAAGTAGATGTTTGGTGTCCAGGATTTCTTTGAAATTTTTACTATAATTATTTGTGTGTGTGTGTGTGTGTGTGTGTGTGTGTGTGTGTGTGTGTGTGTGTGTGTGTGTGTTATGTATATGTATATAGAGGTCCAAGGACAACCTCCGATGTGAATCCTCATCTTCTCCCTTGTTTGAGACATGCTCTCCTGTTTACTACTGTATACACTAGTCTAACTGTCCTGTGAGCTTCAGGTGTTCTCCAGTCTCAACCTCCCATCTCACCACTGGACTGCCAGACTGCAGATGTACACTACTGTGTTGTCTGGATTACAGATGCACACTACTGTGTCTGTCTGGATTGTAGATGCACACTACTGTGTTGGCTGGATTGCAGATGCTCACTACTGTGTCTGTCTAGATTACAGGTATACACTACTGTGTCTGGCTGGATTGCAGATGCACACTACTGTGGCTGGATTACAGATGCACACTACTGTGTCTGTCTGGATTGCAGATGTACACTACTGTGTTGGCTGGATTACAGGTATACACTACTGTGTCTGGCTGGATTGCAGATGCACACTACTGTGGCTGGATCACAGATGCACACTAACTACTGTGTCTGTCTGGATTACAGATGCACACTACTGTATTGGCTGGATTACAGATGCACACTACTGTGGCTGGATTGTAGATCCACACTACTGTGGCTGGCTTTATTCAGGTCTGTGGATCCAAACTTAAACTCTCATGCTTGTGAAACAAATGCTTTACCCACAGAACCAGCCCTTTTCTTATTTAGAGGGTCATAACTCACAGAAGGCATGGGACAATCTGTTTCATGTCACTTAACGTGAGAGGGCTGAAGAGGCCAACAGGAAATTTCAAAATGAAGTGCTTACAAGTTTCCTAGTCTGATCACAACCTGTATTTTCACAAGAAATACAAGTAAAAACACAGCTTTCCAAAGCACATATGAAACATCTAGATTAGGAAAGAGAGCCACAGTGGTGGGGGCAGAACTGGGCACCACTCTCGGAGAACAGCAGTGACCGCATTGTCAAGGGCAGAAACGAGTCTTTGTCTTTATCTGACCATGCCGTTCAGAGTCTACAAGCTGTACGAACCTCCCTAGGGATACCCCTTTCCCAGCCTTCTCCCTGTTACCATCCCATGTAGCTTGAGTTTTCCTGCCTGGCCCACAGTCAGGACAAATCTCTCTCACCCGCCAGTCCCAAGCCGCTCAAACCCGATCAAGTAAACACAGAGACTTATATTGGTTACAAACTGTATGGCCGTGGCAGGCTTCTTGCTAACTGTTCTTACAGCTTAAATTAATCCATTTCTATTAATCTATACCTTGCCACGTGGCTTGTGGCTTACCGGTACTTTACATCTTCCTTGTCCTGATGGTGGCTGGCAGTGTCCCCCTCACCCAGCTTCTTGTCCTCTCTCTTCTCCTCTCTTAGTCCCGCCTATACTTCCTGCCTAGCCACTGCCAATCAGTGATTTATTCATTGACCAATCAGCAACACATTTGACATATAGACCATCCCACATCAATCCCAGAGGTACCACCTCCAGGGGAAGGTACCGATTTAATCCTCCTTCAAGATTCCACCTTTAATTAAACTCAGGAATGAGTCTGAGGGGAAACAAATGGGCTGTGTTATTAGCATTGTTTCAGTTTCATATTTCCCCCGAGTGCATTCTCTAAGCACCAAACCAGGCTCTAGAAATGTTCTCTTCTCCTTTGCCTCAGGCCAGAAATTTCAACCAAGCACTCTCCCCCAGTGGCTTTCTTCCTCTGCCCTCAGTTGCAAATAGTCCCTCCAATGCTCCATGAGAGCCATCCATGGTGGAACACCTACTTGTTTGTAATCTGCTGGTGAGCCAGAGAAGGGAAGATCCCTGGGGTTTGCTGGGCAGACTAACCTATTTGGTAAGCCCTGGGCCTCAGTGGAAGACCCTATCTCAAAAAAGCAAGAGATGGATCAGCAGGAAAGAGCACTAGCTGCTCTTCCCGATGACCCAGGTTTGATCCCAAGCACCCACATGACAGCTCATAACCATCTGTAACTCCAGGTCCAGGCTATCTGATGTCCTTTTTGACCTCCATGGGCACTGTACGTATGTACTACACAGATATACCTGCATGCAGAACACCCATACACATAAAATAACAATAAATAAATCTAAAACACAAGCAACAACAGCTAGGTGAATGACTCCTGGGGAATGACAAAGTTGGTATCTGGCTCCCACATTCATGTACACACACACACACACACACACACACACACACACACACACACACACACACGTACAAGCACACATGCACTGAACACAGACATATGCTCACACACTCACACGTTTTCTGTCACATGCTTGGAAATGCCCCCCTAAGTCACAGACTGCTTAGTGTTCATTCTGCTTTGACTTTTCTATTCTGTAGGTTAAGAAAGTAAAGACTGCGTTAAAACCACAATACTTAAAAGACTCATGGCGCCTGCCACGAGGCCTGCAGACATCCATGGTGGATTTGGGGCCAAAGAAATCCCTTTGCAAGATTGAGTTTTCAAAGCTTCATAATCCACCATAAACCCTGAAAGAGACACACACTACACAAAGTAGCGGGCGAGGTGGGCAGGGACAGTTCTGTGTCTGGGATGAGCATCCCTGTACTTTGATTTAAATTCCTGCAGCTCAGCCCTGTGGACTCCAGCTCTGCAGGACTTATTATTTCCTCATAGAAGGAGATAAAGGCAAGGTGTAGAAGGCGGATCTAAATTCTGGCAGGATTCAGAGAGATATGTACAGGGCACTTGGAAGCTGTGGATAGCAGAATCGAGACTCATCGTCTCCACCTTTTCCTTACTGGGAATTCAGATGCCCAATCAACAGTTTTGTTGAGAAAAGCTACCAGAGTAAAGAGATTCCAGACAAGCCTCTTCGGATATTTACAGAATGCTTTCAGAAGAGAAAGCTCCTGAAGTTGAAGCCTTAACAATGTATTGTGTCTTTTTTTTTTTTTTTTTTTTTTTTTTTTTTTTTTGTGATCGGAACCTAAGGAAGAAAGAAAGGCAGGTCGATAATTCTGGCTAGCTAATAACATTAGCTCAGAGCACGTTCGTCACAGTCTACATCAACACAACACCAGCACAGCTCTGAAGAGCCACATCACATTACCGTTGGTTGAGAAACTGCTTCACTGTGACGGTCATCTGCCCGCCACATGCTTCAGCCACTCAACCTCTGCAACAACATTGTAAGCTAGCGTTTCCACGCGTGTGCACCCCGTCCAGGAGCATGTGCACCCTCCCACACAAAGGACACCCTCCCACACAAAGGACCGTTATCTTCAGGTTTGAAATAGCCTCTGGCCTGGTGATGTCACTCTGCAGTGGGTGCTTGCTAGTGTGCATGAAGTATGTGTGAAGCTGTGGGTTCATCCCCAGCACCATAAAAAGCAACCAATCAATCAAACAAGACAAAAACAAGCCCAAGGTCTCAAGGACCCTTCTAAGGTCCTGTAAGTGGCAGAGTGAGAGGCTGACCACACCGCTGGCCACATCAAAGTGTGAGCTCTCAGCTCCCCCGGTAAGTCCCTTAAAAATTATTGATTGTTGGGTGTAGCTGCTCACTTCTGTAACTCCAGTATGTGGGAGACTCAGGCAGGAAAGGAAGGAAGTGTGAGGCCAGTCTGGGCTGCATAGTAAGACTCTGTCTCTAAGAACAACAACTTCCCTCCTCTCCCATTTAAAAATTTGGTGTACCTGTGTGTGTGTGTGTGTGTGTGTGTGTGTGTGTGTGTGTGTGTGTGTGTGTGTGTACAGGCACATAAGTGCCAGAGAGCACATCTGGAAGTCAGAGGACAACTCTCACGAGTCTCCTTCCACCCTGCTGAGGTGGGCTCTCTGTTTTTTCTGCTGCTCTGTGTATGTCTGGCTGGCTAACCATGAGCTTCTGGGCAATCCTTTCTCCTCCTTCCATCTCTTTCTAGGACTGCAGGGATTACAGATCTGAGCCGCTGCATTGGAATCTTGTGGGTTCCTGTGATCAAGCTCAGGCCATCAGGCTGGTGAAGCAAGCATTTTTACCTGTCGATCCCCTCCATCCTTCATTGGGCACATTTGGGATGGGATGACAGGTTCTGTACCAGATTTGACACAAGGCAGGAAGACTAACCCATGTTGGTTTGTCCTTGTTAAAGCCTGACTAAGGTAAAGGGCAGGTTATAAGGAGAAAATGGAGGGAAGGAGCTGTGCTCTGTGGACCGGGAATTACACTCTTCATTTCCTACTTCTCCTTACCGCCGAGCAGCACTGGAGCTGCCAGTCAGCCACCAAACACCGAAACGAGCCGACGAGAAAGCTAACTTAATTAAATACCCTTTCCCTTTCCCGTTCTCTTTCCTCCCAGCACTCTTGCAATCTGAGATTTCAAAAATTACAAAATTAAAGATTTAAGCCTTCATCAAGAAAGTTTACAAATTAAAGAATCTCGAGCCCTAGAAGACAAATTTCAACTTTCTGTGACACCCATACCTTTCCTAATTATAGGCTCTATTGTCTCCCATGATCCCAAGTTC